ACGGGAACCAAATCTGCACAGATAGTGTGTTCTAACATTTATCCTTCTGCACACTGCTGATGCAGAGGGGAATCCTCCCTCTGCGCTTTTGTCATTTGGGATGCCCGTTTAAAATGGCCTCACTTCCTCCACCTTGGTTTGTTCTTTTTTGCTGCTTGGGAAACTTTAAACTACCTCAGGCGGAGTCTTAGTTACTGTAAGCAGACGCCCCATTTTGCAGCCGGTGCGGTGACACAGGGCAGCAGCGCATCTGCCTAACGTCTTCCACACGTCTTGTTCTGCTTAACCCATAACTGGGTCGGCATGGATGCTCAAGTGCTGGCTTTTATTTCTGCAGCTCTGCAGGGGTCCATCTGCCTCCCAGAGAAAGAGAAGGAAGCAGAGATCTGGGGTCAGAGCTGTACGGTCACCGGATGGGGAAAACTTGCTTCAGGTATCCAGCCGACTCACTGTATCTGCTTTCTGCCAGGGATGGAAACAAGTCATTATTTGGCGGGTCTGAGTCAAGTCTCGAGTCAAAACACTGTAGTTTGAATCAAGTCTCGTGTTATTTGTCCTCAAGTCCAAGTCTTTCTATCATTTTAGCTGTCATGTCAGAAGTCATCAAATTTGTGACTTTTGGTCCGAGTCGAGTCTCAAGTCAGTGACAGTGAGTCCCCAGCTCTGCTTTCTGCTAACCATAAAGCCCAGGGAATCCATAGTGAACTTGTCCTCCTTGCCAGAGGCACATTAATATAGTCAGAGGATTTCTTTGGAGCAACGGACAATATGTCAAACAGTAAAAGTTGTAGGGGGGCGGGGTTGTGACAGTTAAAGCTGTCAGCCAATCATCAGCCAAAAACATTATGATTGAATCGCTCACTGCCCAGTACCGTCCCTGATCATTGTGTAAATCAGTGGTTCCCAAATTGGGGGGCGCAGAGGTATTACGGGGGAGCACAACAATGGGATAACCTCAGGGACGTGTGTCTTCACAGACTGGACGATTAAACAAATGAAGCAGCGCAACATTACAGTAACTAACAATAAATGAACCACTAACTTACGTGTACTATTAGAGCATTTATGTAATTTATTTAAACTTTATTTTACCAGGTAAATTAACTGAAAACCAGTTCTCACTGCCTTACGTGATATTCGGGAGAAATAGCGCATAACGCATCGGAACTTCCTGGGATACAAACGTCATACAAACAACACGTTCTTCAGCCAGTAAGGGCAAAGTTGCAGCGCCGGACAAAAAAAAATCTATCCATATCATGAAAAACGAGGTTTAAAATTTTCTACATGAAGTGCAGGGAGACTATCAGTTAATGGGTATGATTTAGTGTTGTTTTCTGCTATAGTATAGGCTGAAACCTGCGGTTATTAAAAACAAAATGCGGTAAACGCAAGACAAACTTTAATTTGTGTACGCCAATGAATATTAACAGCAATGTTAAATCTGTATTTGCATAATTTCAAACTTATGCTGGACTTTTATTTTTAATTGGTTGAAGCCGCCAACATTTTTTCTCCCTCAGTGGTGAAATTGCGCCATTTGTATTTTGTAATTGCATTTGTTTCGCTCAATTAGAAAAGTGAGTTGTATTTCAAATAAAGTTTGAATCTGAACCTGTGTAGTTTGAATGGGGGGGGCTCAATAATGTTCCTATCTAGAAAAGGGGGGCCCTGCAGAGAACGTTTGGGAACCACTGGTGTAAATCAAGGTTATCTGAGGCCCCTGGGCTGCAGCCTGGGTAATCCTGTGACTTTACAGCACATCTGCTTCTTGCCCGTCCTAAGGTTCCCTTCCCGACATCCTCCAGCAAGCACAGGTACCGCTCCTCACACCTGAAGACTGCAACTCTCTTCTGCTGCAGAACAAGGTCTACAGCAGCATGCTGTGTGCTGGGTACCCGGAGGGCGGTGTCGACACCTGTCAGGTACAGTAGGGGCGTGGCCTGGTCACCTGACCATTGCCAAGGGAAAGGTCAGGGGTCGCGGCTCACGGAGTGACCGGCCTGGAGTGACGCCATGTTTACTCTGACACACAGGGAGACTCTGGGGGCCCGCTGGTGTGCCAGGCCAAGGGCAGGTGGTACCTGATGGGCGTCACCAGCTGGGGGGACGGATGTGGTGAAGCAAAAAAGCCGGGGGTGTACACCCGTGTGGCCGACTACTTCAACTGGATCCAGAACAGCATCTCCTGCTGATGCCAGAGACAGCAGAATACCAGAGAGTCACCATGTGTCATTGTGTAAAAGTGTAACTATACAATAGTGCTATATATGATATGCTCATTTATAAATAAATTTTAATAAGCCTTCTTTCAATTAATCTGTTTTGGCAAATCTGGTGCAGTAATTCAGCCATAGAGAGTGGAATGTGGGAGGGGGGCAGGGGCACCGGGGGGTTGGGGGGGGGGGGGGGGGGGTAACTTTCAGTCACAAAAATAATCATCTACTCATAATATTAAGTAAATCCGGTCAAATAATAATATTCATGCAAAATGGAAAAAAAAAAACTATTAATAAACGCCTGAATTATATCCCTGATTTGTTTTAGCCAATTTTTAGGCTGGGAAAATAATATTGCTCAAGGGGTTTAATAGTTTAATATTTAATATTTAATATTTTCCAACCAGCTGTATTTTAGATAGTATATTTAATGTTATGTCAGCAGAATTAACCGAATCTCAGTGTGTGTCGCAAGGCTAAGAAGTGCATGGTGAGGTGAACAGGTCTTGACAATATACTGTAGGAATAACTAAGAGGGAGAAGGTTATATCTGAGGTTCTCAAAAGCAAACAGACAAGTGGACATATCTAAACCCAGTGACCCATCAGTGGTTTACAGGAGACTAAAACATTCTTAGGTCATAGTTTGTAATTTGATATTGATACATAAACCTTTGATTATGATACATAAACCTTTTTAATATTGCGGGTGCTGACGGAATGCACAGGCTGACAATCTTCCAAATAGAATTAGACCAACTAGCTGTTACTACAACCACATAATGAAACTGCCAGTATGTCAGAAATGGGCCTTATGACTCGTGAACATCTCTGCCTGTCGGACTAAGGAGATGGTGGTGGACTTCAGGCGCATACTACCCTCTCAGTGTAGAAAGAGTCCCAGTCGACAGCATCTACCCCTGTAGATCCAGTCATCTAAAGCCAGGCATCCGCTGTACCATCTTGAGAGAGATGGTTGAAGGTCTCACCAGTCATTCTCAGAGCCTTCTACTTTGGAGCATTAGAGAGCATCCTCTCCATAGGAATCACAACCTGCTCTGGTATCTGCTCTGCCCTGGAGCGTAAAGCTCAGCAGTGGGTGGTACGTTCAGCTGAATGCATCTGCAAGGCTGATCTGCCCTCCCTGCAGGACATGAACCTCAGACGATGCAGGAGCAGAGCTGCCAGAATCCACAGGGACACCAACAACCCAAGCTGCCTCTTTACCAGGCTGAGGTCTGGAAAGCGCTTCTGCTGTCTCTGTGAGATCTGAGAGGCTCAGAAGGAGCTTCTTCCTCATGCAGTTAGACTGCTTAATACCTAATAGACATTTATTCACTGGTAAAACTGCTTCAGAACCGTGGTGACAATGTCAGAAGATCTGACATACTAAAAATCAGAAAATGCAAGCATGTGTCAGATACTGAGCAGATCCCAGTGTAATGAAAAGCAGCAGTTCAAGACACGTATGGCTGTGTCAACCGGGAATTAACATTTTTTGAGACTACGGAGAATCAGACAAAGAGGAAGATGGTTTCAGCAGTTTGAAAGTGATGCAGCGAGGAAGAAGCCAGTATTGCTGCTGCTGAACTAGAAATGATCACAGGTCAGCTAGAGGGCTGCTCTGAAGATTTAAAAGATGTGGCGATTATTCTTCTTGCCTCCTTTATACATAAACAATTTTTAGAAGTGCAGACCAAGTGCACAAACAGTATTGTGACCGGTGCTTGTTGAAGGGTGATGTTACTTTTGTATCTATTATGTTTGACTGTAGGCACTTCCTGCTACTTTACTTGCTACAAAAATGTTCACGCTGAGCATCTACTGAAGGACTGCAGCCGCCCACATTGCAGCCTCATCTCAGCGCCGTGAACAATGGGCGCCAGCTATTACTGTTTCAACGCTGGCTATCCAGGGGAACTGGGATCTGCTCTTGAGTTTCTGCAAAGGCGGGGAATTAAAGAATTTCTTATTTCTTATTCTGTTAGTAATTCTCTTTATTTCACAATATAATCAAATGGTTTAAGCATCAGTATTTATTTTATTGTTTGTTGAGAGATATGGAGCAAGGGGTGACTGGGTTTGCCTGCCTTTCATTTTTCAAATCCAGTGGAGGATGTTTTTTTTGTGTGTAGTTTTTATGTTTAAGAGCCAACATGCCACACTGAAAATAATATATATATAATTATTATTATTATATATATTTTTTTACAGATGACCGTAAAACAGAATAGATCCTTTCTGCACATTTTAATGTGAAATTCTGGCAACCACAGCTGCCAGTATTTTGCCGTAAATATAGGTAGTTTTTTAAACAGTATGGTTGTGTAACTGTAACCTTATTGGCTGTGATAAAGAGCATTGCACTTTACTCCTGCCTGTTTACTCTAATGACAGCTAAAGGCCTCAGCATTGCACTTTACTCCTGCCTGTTTACTCTAATG